AAATGATAGCTTATGACTCCATCAAAAAAGATAATTCATGAAGGTCAATACATAGCAAAAAAATAGCACAAGACAATTACCTGGCAATTCAGGGTACTCTGAGGCATGGCCCCACCCTGCCCAAACTCCATCAGCTTCATAGCGGAGTGCTATGTCCAAAATGAGTTTCACATTGGCATAGTTGTTGTTGTTTGCTCCACCAGGCACCCACACAGTTGTGTCAGCCAACTTGATGTACTCAGCTCCCGCTATGAATGGCAGAATTATTAATTTCCTTTTCTATTATTCATGCAATATTAGCTTGAGAAATCAATCAAAAATCAGAAAATGTTATATACATGATAATACAAAAACATCTGTAAACACCCTTTTACTTTTATAGATACAAACACACACACACACAGAGTAAATTTCTCTACACTTGCAATATCATTCTATATATACCTTTCAAGTCTTCAGGAGTGACCATCCCAATGAAATGAAAGGCCCGGTCATTTCTGAACACTTCGTATGCCCATTTGCGAATACTGCGCATACACTTGACTGCAGCAATACCATTGTTTGCTATAAGAATCTGAAAAATACCAAAATGTTTAATATCTATTGTTCACTCGCTGTTACCATTTTGCATGGGTATTTCACCATAAAGCCTTGTAAAATCAATTTCACTCAACCAACCCTTGTGATGACTTTATTCCCCCCAAATTTCTTGACGAACTCCTGTGGTGTGGCCACAGTGAACTCCTTCTGGTCGGGCGGACGACCAATTGCTTCTTCTACACCTGCCATGGTCAGGACGGTGCAGGTAGTGGAGGCAGATGACTTCCCTTACAAATGCAGTCTTAAAATCTATTCATTTGTGTTGATCTTGCTGACTGGAAATAAAAAATGCCCATATGAAGCTCAGTTTGATCTACATTACCATAGGAAATACACACTGAATTCAGACATATAATATCCTTCACTGCAGTTTTCATGGTCCATCTTAGTGACTATGGAAACCACAGTAATATAGATCTGCTATATTTTTAGAAGCCCTATATACATCTGATAAGGAAAAAAAAATGAATATGGTTTTCAAATTTCACAACCTTATTATCCAATGCTTTGAATATCAGGTTCTAGAGGCTCCTGTTCATTATTCTTTACCTAAGGTCTGCATCTTACCTTGATTTTATTTTTTGTTTAAATTCAATAAAACTACAATTTATCAATGCAAATCAATGTAAAAAGTACAAAGAATCAATGGAATGGAGAATACTTTTCTTTAGTGATATAGATGCCATAAACTTAAATTAAACCCATTCTATTTATTTATTTCATATACCAAATAATATATATTATTTTCATAAGAGGTCCCATATACAACATATCTAGAATTCAATTCTGCTTAAAATTTCATCTTTTATCCAAACTGGTATTCTAGTCATATGCAAAAAGACATTTAGTGTTTTTTATGCAAAATATATCTAATAAAAAAATAAAAACAGTTTAAAGATCACTTCTTACAGCAACTCCTAACACACTTTTCTCTAAGCCTGTAAATTGACATTAACCCATTGGCACCAGCAACACCCACAGGCCACTGAAGTTTCGTTTTATTTTGTTTACACACAGATGGCTTCATAAGTGCTTCTTCAACAATGAGTCACTTACTAGGTCTCACCTACTTACTTGTTTTTTGTTTTGTTTTTTTTTTTCAGTTATTAAAGTTATTGCTATTATTCTTGCCATAATGTTATTAACAATAATAGTAATGAAAATTACAAATCATCAAGGAATAGAATAAACAGATAAGGTCAGGTAAGCCTAGTGCTTGACACCCTGAAGCCATTTATGTATAAACAAAATTAACAAAGCAAAATCATTGTGGACATTGCATGTATACATTCATTGTGTTTATTGGAGGGTGAAAAAAGGTAGTGACACTACAAACAACAATACATCCTATGAACTCTTTATATCAAAACTTAAATGACCAATACTCCAAATTTCATACAGTTTAACAAACTCCACAAAATAATTGCTAATGTTGGTTTAGTACATGTACGTAATCAATATATACACGTAATAAAGATAAGATAAGAAATTAAAGCATTTCAAAATATTTTGTCATTTCAAAAAAGAGAATGATAACTGGAATTCTAAGGAAGATGTGCAATTTCCTTCACATGTCCTCCCCCTTTGCAAGGGAAATTCCTCTTTGATTGTAGACTTTTTAATAAGTAACATAATATCTTTTTATTTGTGCAGGCCTTCAAAATTCTTTGGTACTGAAGGGACTTAGTATGTATTTTTTAATTATTTTTTAAACATGTTTTGATAAGTACTCCCCAACCTTTAGCATAAGGAAGCTGACTGGCAGGCCCTCAAATACCTTCGAGCAAATGACTGCCTTGGTGAAAGTAACCCCATATCACAATCCTCAATGCGATATAGGAAAATACATGAATGAAGCCAGTTCTCCTTGGTTTAAAAGATATACAAAGGCACTAAAAAC